GGCGAACATGTTTGGTGTGACGGGGATTCGAACCCGCGACCCTAACCATGCTGAGCCGGCATAATCTGAAAGAAGAGATATTTCTAAAAGTCATTTTACATGAACACAGTAATGAATCTTGATACACTATTTGCTTCTTTATGACAGTCATTCTAACTTGAAAAGTTATCTTTTACGATCTACCCCCCCTCCTTTATTTGCAGCACGGTCAAAGAAGAAAGAAGGCTAGACTTAAGTCGCTTTTACAAGTGGAAATAGATCAGTTGTAAATGTAGTAAACGGACAATGAGCATGTTGTAATATTGTTCATAGATATATATATAGCTTTAAGGAAAATGGGTTTTTATATATTTTTGTACGCGTTTTTATGGGTTTGGTGCAAGCGCGTAATTATGTTGTCATCCATTGGAGTAGCAACCAACGCACTTTGCAGAAGAATAATAACAATAACATTAGACGAAGAAGAGAGAGATCTTTTGTACCATTCATTGAACTGCAAACAAAATCAACTTTCTATCTAGGTCTCTACTGTCTTTATTTCTATGTTGTATTATTTCATATGACTTACAGACCGGGAAGGCACTAGAAGAACTACTCCCTAGGAGAATTGGTTTTATTGGTGTCTATGTTTATTGTGCAATAAAAAAAAGATAAGTACATTTTTTAAGAGCTTCGTAGTTTTCCACTTAATATTTGTTTTTTCGTATTACAGGTTGATGGTTCTTCCTCATCAAACAATATCTTTTAAATTAACATAAAGCGAATAGCAGAACTAACAAAGAGAAACGAATGTGGTAACTACATAATTTTCAGTGGAAAGATAAGATAGAGATTTTTTTATTTCTAAAAACAGTGGGTGTATAATAAAATAAAATGAAATAGCAATTGCTCGCGAAGCTATTGGTTTATCACTGTATCTTTCAAAGGTGTAATTTGTTTCAACATACGCTTCTAAAATTAATCGATGTTACTTTTATGATATTTTTAAATTTAATGTTTAGTGGCTAATATTTCTGTCCTTGTTGCTGAGTGGTGGTATTTTGGCGTCACTGGCCATCGGTATTTCTGATATGAGCCCCAAAATGAGGTAGAACTGGGATATCGAAATTATGACTTCCTATGAGGTTTAAAGCTAAACTCAAACGAGAAGTTCAACTTTTATCTAGTATTTGTCTTTTTCATTCCACGTATACGTGTGCGTCTGTTTCTTATAGTAATATAAACAGGAAATGCATGTATTAATTTCTTTTACTTAAGAAAAAGCCTTTTCTTACCCACGTTAAATGACAGAGAAAAATTTTCAAGTATTCTTACGTTATGCTATTTTTTTTCGTTACACAAATGAGTATTATTATTATTGAATAATTAAAAAAAAGAACATCCACAAGTAAAGAAAACTAAAAAGGTTGAGAACGGAGCTGTTTGGCGGCACTATAAATATTGTATGATATATATCACTATTTTTTCGGAGATGTCATAAAACTTTTTAAACTGGATAACACTATCACGAATTACAGAAGCTTACTTCCTTATGGTTCTTTTTACACTAAGCAACCGATTTGAAGGAAAGAATAAAAAGAAGAAAACACGTTATGAAATTTTCAATGGTCTTCCAGCATGCGTTGTGAAAGAAATTTGGTCTATATCAATCCACGATGTGTGTGTCTATTCATCATTTCTTTTGGAGTAAAAAAAATTGAGTTACTATTTTAAGAATAAAATTACCAATCAGAATAATTCAACTCACAGTTCATGTATTAAAATTGTAATTAAATATCTTTTTTTTTATACAAAAGTAACAACATATCTATGGAAAGTGTGAGATATATGATGGATGGATAGATCTTTGAATAGACAGAAACTTAGACATACCCAAACGTATTCCTAGTTAGAGTTTTATAACCATAACGACTAGTCGATTATGGTATAGACACAACAGTCATGCTATGAATGTAGAAGTAGAAACATCCACGTTAAGGCAACTTTATACAGCATTTATCGAGCAGTGATACCATGTGCAATATTGGGGCGTGGCTTAGACTTATGAACGTATTAGAGCAAAAATACACTGGAAGCCGCTTAAATCCGCCTTTAGTGCTAGTATATGACTGTTTGCGTGTATATTGGAGTAATGTAATTGATATTCAAGAACTCGTACATGCGCAAAGCCCAGTAACTTATTGGAAGAATCATGCCAAATATATCGTGTTTTGAGAACTATCTCGAAGAATAACAAAGATCATGTATGTATGTATGTTATGAAACCCATTAACAAGTTCTTATGACGCGCTCACAAATTTGGTTTTCCCTGATAAAACGTTCAAATTTTGCAATATTCAATGTTGTAATCTTTTCCGTAAACGTTTAAAACTTTGCTCTCCCGTTATCCATCACAAAGTTTGCTTTCCCTTTATCACAAGCTTTTGCATATTTGGCGTTGCTATAGGCTTATATTATTTTGGCTCTGTCACAAATTGCTACATATCTGTACTTGTCACAAGCTCTTATGTATTTGGCTTTGCCACGAGCTTCTACGTATTTGTCCTTGCCTTATGCTTCTACAACTTTGGCTTTGCCATACGCATTTATGTATTTGGCTTTGTCACAAGTTTTTATGTATTTGGCTTTGTCACAAGCTTCTACGTATTTGTCCTTGCCTTATGCTTCTACAACTTTGGCTTTGCCATACGCATTTATGTATTTGGCTTTGTCACAAGTTTTTATGTATTTGGCTTTGCCACGAGCTTCTACGTATTTGTCCTTGCCTTATGCTTCTACAACTTTGGCTTTGCCATACGCATTTATGTATTTGGCTTTGTCACAAGTTTTTATGTATTTGGCTTTGTCACA